GACACATTGGATATTTGAAAAATTAATATAGATGTTATTTATAAAGAGAGAATATTTATTAAGGCGAAGTTGGATTATTAAGCGTTTTACGTTCAAATTATTATACAGTAATTGATTGTGACATATACGGTTGGGTAGAAGGAATTTGAAATATATCAATATACCAGGGATGGTAATTCCTATGGTCTTTATTGACAAGACTGTGTCTTGTTTATAAAATCGTACTGCCACTCGTTCTTATCAGCATAGAGGTATGAAGGAGTACACGTCGAGAGTCGATATTTGGCACAGAGTATTAGGTGCCCAAATTATTCGCGCATAAAAAATCCAGACTCGTAGGTAGTCGGGGAACCGAGAATCGAGTCAAAATAAAATCCAAAATGGCGATCCTCTTCTACAAACGGGCAAAACAGCCACCTCATCCCACCGAAGTCGAGTAGTGGAGAGTACCACCTGCAGTCATTCTAACAAGTAAGAAGCGAACTCCGACTTTAGGACCAAACACGTAGTTTCTTCTATGTTAAATAAAATTTGTAATCTAATTTTGTAAATTTGGGAATGCTTCAAATATGACGTTAAAACAGGGTTTTACGTCGTTACGAGTGGGTTTTTTTTAACGTTATCTAGTATAGTAAAATCGTAGGACCGATAAAAATTTGACGTTATATTAGGGTCGTCGTTACATCCGATGACGTTATAATCGGGTTAAAATGTATATTGTCCGAGACATAGTCTTGTCCCAAATACGGTTTTGCCGTTTTACTTGTTTATGGATTGAGATGTAGCGGAGTCCAATGAGGGCGTGTAACCGTATTTCCAATCTTGGATATTGTCTTTTGTTCTGAGACGTCAAAAAGTTATTTAATATAGTTAAAATTAAAAATTTCATTTACAACATAAAAATAACTATTAAGTACTTAATCAATGTATAAATTTCAAGTAAAACACAATTAACAGGTTGTTTTCTATTATTAATATCTGAGATTTGATGATAAAATCAAAAACACACACCGTTTGTACTTTTCCAGCAATAACTTTAATCCCAGAACAAACGTAAAACTGACTACCAATTTATTTATTACTATTTATTTTTAACTTTCATAATAATGAAAATGGATCGCAATCATTTTACTTTTTATTAAATCTTTTGCGAATCCCTGACATTGTGTACGCACCCCTAAATTAATTCTAATTTGCCACGGACTCCATCGGCGGTTCCAAGGACCTCCAGGGGTCCGTAGGAACCACTTTGGGAAAGATTGGCCTAGACCAGTGGTTCCCAATTAGTTTTTTCCTGCGTACCAATTCAAGAAAGAGCTGAAACTCGCGTACCCCTTATAGCAGAAAATCATATTAATCCATATTAATATTATAAATTCGAAGGTAATTCTGTCTGCTGTCTGTCCGTTACCTTTTTACGTCTAAACTACCGAACAGGTTTTAATAAAATTTGGCACAGAGATAGCTTACACGTTGAAGATGGACATAGGCTACATTTTATTGCGAGAAAATATCTTACTCCCACGAGAAAATTCGATATAATACGGGCGAAGCCGTGGGTAGACAGCTAGTAATAAATAGAATAAGTTTTTTTTTACATTTATTACCTTTAAAATACAATTCTAATAATAATGAAAACAACATAAGGTTATTTAATTTTAATGCGACAATTGTCACAAATGCATTTTTTGATGAAATTTCGAGACTATTTTTAGTTATAAATAAACGAATTTGTGCATTCGACATCGCGTTGCAAATTGCCGAATTTTTGATGGTCCACCCATTATTTTTTGTTTGCTTCATCTCACGCGTTTAAATTTTAAATCGACCGATTTTAGATTGCCGCGCGTACCCCCAGGGTTACGCGTACCACTAATTGGGTACCACGAGGCCTAGACCATCACTGACGCCCCTGATTGCCCCTGGAAGTCGGTTTCTTACAGAAACACAGCTTCCCTATCATCAAATGTCACGGCACGCCACTGGGGTTATATTCTTTTTTATGTTTCCACTGAAAGTATATGTTACTTAATTTGCGGAAATATTAGCTATTAGCTGCAGAAAAGTTTGCAAAAATGTCTTCCGGTTATGATGGCTCTCCACTTAGCGCGATTTTGAGGCAATTCAATCGCCTTTATCGGTCAATTAAGTACGAAATTAAATTGAAAAATTGAAAGTTTTAGCGCCATTTTAAAAATTTTGCATAATTCATTACAAATCGCCGTTGCAATTTGCGACTATATCGTTCTATGAATCATCATCAGGTGACGGTGACACATCGCGTAATAAGTGAAAAACCAGCATTAGACTTTGTACCGCATTTCCATGGAAGAACTTTTGATATTCGTAGAATAGGTAGGCAGTGTGGTGTGACCTTAACCAACCACTTATAAAACTGGTTGGTGAAACGTCACACCACACCCGTTGTTGAAATCGTATAAGCTTTCAATATTCGCAAAACGTCACACCAGTGAAATGTAGCACCCGCTTTGTTAAAGTTTATGTATCGTTTGGAAGTTACTTCAAAGTAAATTTAACGTTAACGCTTCACCATTATGCCACAGTTATGCCATCGGCATAGACGAGAACTTTTGAAGAACAGTGGAAGAAATATTGGTGAGGTGAGGCTAAATAAGACGGGAACCCCGAGGAATGCCAATTAGAAGGCGAAATGAAGAAAATGAGAAATCGTCCAGGCTTTTGGTGTAATTAGAGATTAGGAAGTAATTGTTCAATCATTGTAGTAAAGCTAGGAATTGAAGAGAGAATGATCAGACAGTATTTCTTATGTTCTTCTTTTGGAATTGTTTGGAATTTATCACTGCCGAGGAATTAAGGTTTTTGGTGATGTTTTATTGAATATTAGAGTTAAAAATGGTGATTAAAATCTTTATGGATTGAATCAGAATCTAAAATTGCATGTATTAAGTTTTGTTGTAATTTTTTAAACCAGGGTAAAGGTGAATGAAAAGCAGTCGATGCTAGAGGAAGAGTAATTAAGGGATTTATAATTTATAACTTGATGAAGTTGAAGTATCTGCGTTTTAGGACATCATATTAATATATTTGGTAAATTTGTTTGGATGGGAAAGTGGACTGTCTGATGGGATTAAGTTTAGAAAAGTTAGACAAAATATTCTAGAATGTTTTGGGATAGGAAGCAAAGTTATTAACTATACAGTGAAAATACTTTAATCATTTGTAATAAAAATATTGCATTATGTAAATGTTATTTTGAAAATTTAAAACAAACATTTTTTTACAATAGATGATTATAGTGTTTATCAATTTGGTTGTTGACAGTTGATCGTGACCCAAATATATAATAGACAAGATATGAGCTACTAGAAATGTATATAGGGGAAGGTGGGGCAAAGATAAGGACTTTAAGGTTTGAAAAGCCACAAGATGGGAATTACTTTGTTGAGAACGATAACTTTTTATTCTCGGCAACTACAACATTTGTTAATATATAATACAAAATTTAATTTTTGAAAAACGTTTTTAAAAACAAGAAAATTTAATATTTTAAAATTATATGTAAATGCACCATCTTGCCCCACCCGTGGGGTAAGATGGGAATATTATTTTTATATACAAGAAAAACAAATTAAAATGGTTAAACTGTCGTTTTCTTCAATATTGGCACAAGAACAATG